GTTCATGAGGCAGGTGAGTAAGTTTAGTTTAGTTTAGTTTAGTTCTTTATTTACCACCCTGGCTAACTGCATAGGTGTGGGCAAGCTGTGGTACATTTGATGCATGGTCAAAGCATTATATTACAGTGTAAATCTAAATCATAAAATTATTACGTCTTCTCCACAATCTGACTAATCCTTGCGAGCTTCAAAGAGTTTTTTTTTTTTAGTGGTGGGGTATTAGAAGAATGGGGATGTGTGGAAGAGGGAGTAGTGCTGAGAAAGGAAGTACTGTGGAGAGATGGACAATAAGGCTGCAGAGTAGTTATCAAAAAAGATGGGTAGTTGATGAAGAAAGCTGTTGGGGTGGAGGTGTAATAAAGGAAGTTGGGAGAGTAGGAATTTTTCCTGGAGGTTGAGTAATGACTTGAGTAATGGCTTGGACTGGACTGATGTAATAGTAGCCATTGGGAAGGAGGTAGTAGTAGTAGCAGCAGTGTTCAGAGTCATGACCAAAGGAGAGCCTGAAATTGGGGAACTGGGAGAATTTAAATGTGGGGCTATTTGATAAAGGAGTAAGCCTTAGTGCCCCTAATGATGGTACAAAGTTTTCATTACTGGCCATAGTAAGCCCATGGCTTCCCCTCAGGCTGTTCATGACTGGCACAAAGTCAGCCTTTCATCCTTTCAACATGGCTCTCACACCTTAGAAAGTGAAAAGTAGAAGGGGTTGGAGAAATGAAAGAAATTACAAAGGAAGGGCCAAGACCCAAGGCAGGGATGATCCCCAACATTGGATACTAGTCTCCAACTCCTAATCACCCCCACAGCAACAACAGCGGGAAAGCGAAAAATTATACACATGAAACGGGCCATAATCATATTTTACGAGTGTTTGTCTTTCAAAAATGTCATTCAACCCTCCTTAATGGCTGGATGTAAAAAGAGACATTCATTTTGGAAGCTTCTTATATCTCATTCATTGATTTTGATCATGTTTTGCAGGTTCACGTAATGTATATATCTCATGGAGCTATTTCTGGTAGGTTAGCACCAAGAACCAGAGTTTAGTGAGATTAGTGACTTTTCCTGTTATAATAATATGGCTGAAATAACTTACTTTCTTCTCCTCCAGCAATTTCCAGTTGATGGTGATGTAGAAGGGGTGATTCTGAACCTCTTTCACATCTCTGGGTCCACCTCCAAGACGTGTGTTTGGGTCCTTATGCAGCAGGCCCCTAAGGAGGTCTCGTGCTTCTTGTGATATTGTACGTGGGAATCTTACCTATTGTTAAAAAGGGTAAGATATTTTTTTTTTTTTTTTTTTTTTTAAGTAGTATATATCTTCTTTGTTTTCTTTCTATTTTTTAACTGTAACATTGGTCATCATGGCAGATTTTTATAACCATTTTCTGTCAAGGACCCGATGCCAAAAGGAAAATGTTGCGTTCACTTTAGTATCGTTTTATTAAATGTTTCTGCACATAGATGGCTTTCCCAGTGTTTAGTCACAAAGGAGTCAATTAGTAGATTTTGTGACCTCACCTTTCTTGAATAGCAGGAAAATGTTTTTTTTATATTATTATTATTATTATTATTATTATTATTATTATTATTATATTATATATTATCATCATTATTATTACTATTTTTTTTTTTTTTACAAATGCTGTCAATATTGACATATTTTTTTTATGAACATTTTAATTCTATTGACATTATTATTACAGCAGTATCAAATACTAGATATATAATTTATGTGTATATATATATTATATATATATATATATATATATATATATATATATATATACATATATTTATATACATAAATAATATTATCATATAACTCTATATATATAAACATATACATATATACATATATATAAACACACATTATATTTTATATACTATATATATATATATATATATATAATATATTAATTACAATATATATATACATATATATAAATATATACAGTGCACGTCAGATATCTTGGTGAAAAGGGTAACAAAAAAAAAAAAAAAAAAAAACTATGAATTTTGTCATTTACTGAACTAATTACAGGCACTTACATCCTATCTAGTATCTTGTTGGGCACCCTCTTCTCTTGATGCATTCTGAAAGACATCTAGGGACAGACTCTGCAAGGTGTTGGAGCCACTGAGGAATGATATTGCTCCAGATGTCTCTGATGGCTGCCTCAAGCTTGGGGATTGATGAGGTATCATGCTCATGTAATCTGTTTTTCATTTGTGCCTACAAGTTTTCAATAGAATTTAAAGCTTTGCATTATGGCAAGGTGCACCATCCTGCATAAACACATCTGTTTGGCACCGCTCAAAGCAATCTTCCAAATCATCACTCAGTAGCTCCAAATATCTATGCAATTCATCAAAACATTCCTTGGTAATATTATCAATGTCCCCACACTGTGGTAACAAAAGGCACCCCACACCATCAATTCATCTGGATATTTCAGTCCCTTGGATGAATCTCGGGTCATACGGATCACTTTCA